CAAGTAGCTGGGACCACAGGCGCCTGCCACAACGCCTGGCCATTTTTTGGTTGCAGCCGTCATTGTTGTTTGGCGGGTCCAACCTGGATTCGAACCTGCCACCTTAGGTGTATGTGACTGACGCCTTAGCCACAGGCGCCGAGCCACATTTTCCATTCTTATTAGACTTCAGCTATCATGCCTAAAAAGTTCTTCCCTACTCTTAAGTTATAAACCGTAACTTCTCTAATAACTGTTTTATTCACATTTATTTATTTTTAAATTATTTTTTAAAGACAGGGTCTTGATCTTGCTCAGGCTGGTCTAAAACTCCTGAGCTCAAGCAATTCTCCCTCCTTGCCCTCCCAGAGTGCTGGGATTACAGGCATGAACCACTGCACCCAGCTGTTTTGTTTACATTTAAATCTTTAATCTATTTGAAATTTTTTCAATGAAAGGCAGGAATTGAGCTTTTTTCCCCCCAGAAAATGAGTCAGTCTCAATACCATCTACCTTCTTTTTACCTTGTTACTTTTAAAATAAACTTTCATTTAAGAGCTGGAAGAAGCCTAAAGGTACCAGGTGAGGGAGGCCTCTCCAGAGTCTGGTACCATACTCTCCAGAGTATGGTAAAGAGGGAAGGGTGAGACAATAGCTCAGCTGTGGGTGTTGGGACCCTTGGAGGCACTGGCTCCTCTGGGTGCCAGACAGAAGCAGTGGTGTCATCACCAACAGGGTAGCCAGAGGGATGACTGCTGTTTTCTACCTGTGGCCTGCTGGAGACAGCATGGCAGGGTGGACAGGCAGAGAAGAGGTAGGAAGGATGGAGCCCTGATGAGCCTTGGAATTGGAGGACAGGGAGAAGGCAGGATGTGTGGGAAGCAGCTCAAGTCTAGAAGAGAAGAAGGCTGAGGAGGAGGAAAGGGCCTGCAGGCCAAGTGGCAGGAACTGGATTGGAGAAATGAGATGGATGTTAGTTTTCCTTGGATCGTCAGTCTGCTGGCCCTCAAGGCCTCAATGGCTGTGGTGTGAATGTCCCAGGGGGCTGTTGGAGTCCACACTGTGTCTTTCACGTTTGGGCCATTTTACAGGTGGAGCCTTTTGCCAGCTTATCAGAGGCTGTGCGGAGCTCAGTGCCCCGACTGCTCATCAACCGGGATTTGGTGGGGCCCTTGGCTTGGCGTCCTCGCAGCAGGGATGTGGCCCAGCTAGGGGATGTGGTTCACAGCGTGGAAAGGCTGGTGGAGCTTCTAGGCTGGACAGAAGAGATGCAGAACCTTGTGGAGCAGGAAACCAGGAAGGTATAGATGCTGAACAGGGTGGTTGGGGGGGGAGGTTCCCTCCTCAGGGTTCTGGTCCACCTGCCGTGGACCCTACTGGTTAAAATAGTAACAGCTAATGATAGAGCTGTTAGTCTTGTACCAGGCACTGACCTAGACTTGACTCCAATGTTATTTTTAACACCTCATTTGGAGATGAAGAAGCTGACACTAGGTACGGCCCTTGTGGTCACACAGCTCTCAGGGGCCAAGCAGGGATGTGGTCAGGCCATCAGGGCTGTGAATCTGCACTTGTAATACAGTACAGCAGGGGTCCTCAAACTTTTTAAACGGGGCCAGTTCACTGTCCCTCAGACTGTTGGAGGGCTGGACTGCAGGCCCTGGGACGAGTTGGCTGCTCAGCAGGACAGGCAGTGGCGGCAAAAAACCTGGCTGTCCGGATAAATGTCCTAGGCGGGCTATAGTTTGAGGACACCTGCACTACAGGCTATTGCCTTTGGTCCTTAAAGGAAATCAGCCAGCAGCTCCTCCCTGGGGCCTGGTATGCGATTACCAGTTAAAAAGCTTTGCAAAGCTGAATTCCTTTGCATCTGTGTGGGATGGAGCCCACTCCAGAGAGCCTTTTATGAAGTAATCACTGTGAAAGCTGTTTATCTATTATAATCTGCTGAGAGAAAGCCAAGGAGCCTTGATGGTTTTGATTTCAAATCTGTAAACAAGTTACAGAAAATGCAGTGTCCTGTGAGAATTACATAGCACATGTAGCTACAATATTTGAGGTTATTTTCTATAGAAGCATTAAGCATATAAAGTCCAGTTTTATAATACAATTACAGGCAGGTGTAACATTGCCCAAAGGGGATTTCACCAGAATACACTCATACATTACACTTGATACTCCTATTGTCCCCCAAGACAGGTGTCTTAGAAAATCCTGATCCTGGCTCAGCGCCTGTGGCTCAGGTGGCTAAGGTGCCAGCCATATACACCTGGGCTGGTAGGTTTGAATCCAGCCTGGGCCACCTAAACAGTGACGGCTGCAACCAAAAAACAGCTGGGTATTGTGGCAGGCACCTGTAGTCCCAGCTACTTGGGAGGCTGAGGCAGGAGACTCGCTTGAGCCCAGGAGTTGGAGGTTG